ACTTGGAATACAACCTACATCACTGAAGGGAATTATCCCTCTGCAGGATTACAGCCTACACAGTTTGCCACTAAGATTACAGACCCCAGTGCTAAGTAATCTGCTCTAAATTACTGACCCATTGAACAAACATCCCCTCTTATTCACACTCCAAGGACCTTCCTAGTCTAAAGGGAAGAATCATTATCAAAAATATGAAACAATTTTAAGAATAGTTCCTATATATCCTGTAGAGACAAAATCACTCTTGTAAAAGGAACATGGTGCACCTCTCACCTTTGCAAAGGAAGAATGAACACTTGACAAGGTGTGAAGTCACACAGGCATAAATGACCAACACATCCAGAAGACATACACTTACATCAGTTGTATGCAGTAGTTTTGAAGTTTTTAACATTTTAAAATGTTAAAGAACATTTTAATTTCACTTCCTGGATTCAAACTATAATTAACTTTGAAGTAAATTACAATTATAATTGCTGAAATCAGTCTCCATGTAGGATAATCAGAAAACAAAGATGTCAGCAGCCACTGACAGTGATAGATATGATTCACCAAGAACAATGTGGGAAAGCTCTAGCAGAAGTAGGGATAAAACCCAAGCACCAATGCAACACCTAGTATTTCCATCTTTTCTTCAGCTCAACACCACCTCCGTCCTAGCACTCTTTCAACCAGTCGCTTCCCCATATGTCTACATGATCTCAAGACTTTCCAAGCCCATGTTCTTTACCTTTTCATTTGCTTCTCCTCATTTTGAATGCTTCCTTTCTCTTGTTTTTTTTTTTTTTCTTAAATATCTCTCCTCTGTGTTTCTTCTACCTTGCTAAGGTTTGGATTTGATTCTATCACAGTGCTCAGGTTTAGAAAAAGGCAGACAAAGTGATGTTTAGCAAAGAAGTAACTTGTAAAAGGAAGCACTAAGCAATTCTTGTCAGAGATGCCATTACCACATTGAACAATTTCCTGTCACCTGCAAACAAAACAAAACAGCCCATGTTCTCTTTCCCTAAAGGAGAAGAAAAGAGAGGTGGGAATAATGTGACTTTAGAAGTTAGTTTTGCCTTCCTTGTTCTCTAGTTTGACCTATAACACACTGTAATTTATTTTATCTAGAGAAGTCTGGGGACTTCAGAAAATTTATCCCAGCTTTTACAGTCCCAAAGAAACCAAATGCTTGGAAAGCTGAGAGATTGGTCAGTTCACCACCACCCCTGCTAAGCCAGAGAGCAGAGCAGAAGTGAGGGAGCAGAACAACTGTTGAAATTAAGTACCATGAGACAGTACAGGAAAACTAAACCTGCAGAAACCAGGAGCCATGACCCAAGAAATAAGAACAGGAGGACACAATAAATCAAACTACAATGCCAAGTACAACTTGGCTTGAACCTTGTGCTCAGTAAGTAAATTCAGTGTAACAACTGTCTGTAGGGTACAACCATGCTCACATAAGCCAGTTCCTCCAAGAGCATGCACAGTAAAACAAATGTGCACTGGGTCTTCACATGCAGACAAGAGAATTCAAAGCCAGTGACTACACAGTTAGATTGTTACATATATGGGAAATGTCAATTTTTTATTGTTATCAGTGTATAAAAATGAGCACCTGGCATTTTGAAGATGTGCTAGCTTTATGGATTCACCACTTAGAACCCGTTCTGTGCACAGATATGAAATAAAATCAGGTATCTTGACTCTGTGTGTGGATTGTCTTCCTGGACACAGGGTGAAAGAATCTGTATTTAGGACAACACAACATGCTGACATTCTGGCCACTTGAGAACTCTGACAGAGTAGGGAACACTTGAGTCTGGGTTCCAGTCATCTGGGTCCATTTCAAGAGTATAAAAAAATTCTGCAAGAGATACTCCAGCTCCATCAGTCTTTTGTTGTTACACTAAAAAAAGGAGTGCTGACTGCACTTTGCATGGTAAGGACCTGAATATTGGCTAATTTCTTTAAAAATATCCATTAAAAATGAAAGAAGAAGCAGCAACAGAAGTCCAGTCATTACACAGGTACAAGAAAATCGAGTGGCACAGGGAGTTTCCACAGACAAAGGATTTCCCACAGCCTATTGTTGGAAACACTGTGATTCAACTGCTCACTTCTTGCTCAACAGGCTGCTGATTCAACCAGAAGAGGATGCTGGTATGTCTCACCTTCTGCATTCCACCTACTGCAGCCTAAATCAACAAAAAAACTGGTTTTGAGAAAACATGTGACTATAGCTCATGCTAGTTTCAAGTTATTTACATCACAGTCCTTTGGTTGTACAATAACACCTTTTTGTCAATGCCATTTAAAGATACACATAATAAAATATCAGGAATTTTAACTGCTGCTGTCTCTTATCTTGCTAAATTCTAGTTGGACATTTCACTAGAAGCAGCTGGTTAGAAGGTGAAACACAGACTATAATATACTTTCAGATTCACTGCTGTATGAGGAAACTACAGACCAGAAAAATCATCAGCATACAAACTTATAAAATAATCAGATAAAATGTGTTTTACAGCTGGAGACAAATCCTGTCTATGAAGAACAATCTGCTTGTGAAAATTAATGACCTGCTGCAACTGCCCAGAGAAAGCCCTCAGGTAAGGAATTCAGATGGAGCCATGGAGCAAGTCAGTGGAGGCTATTTTAAACCCAAGCTATTCTACAGCTACTTCCAGGTGCAGCCCTAAATTCAGCAACAGTATCTGTTTCCCAGAAGCAGATTTTAAGCTGTCTCTGACAGGTAACTGGAGATGGGCAGTACAGCTCCAGAGGCATGGCATGCAGCTAGCCTCCAAAATAAAGTATGAGCTGTTATTTTTCAGAGAACAGATTGTTCTACAGCAGAAGTTATATACATTTCTTTTTCATACTCAGAGAGGTTTCTTCTAGATGCTGGCAGGGAAAAGGACAAACAATTCCCTAGAGTGAAGTAGGAAACAGAGACAGGAGAAGTATGGCTAGAGGCTAACAGATTAGCCATTACCAAATTTATAATCCATGTAGACTCTAAAACACGTTAAATATCTTGGAGCTGCATTTTTAACACCTTAGGAGTGAAATAACAGGAAATGAGCTTGTTTTAATGACACAAAGAAGCTGCATTAGAGAAAAAAAAAGGGGGAAAGGAAAACTAACCCTTCCAGGTGTATTTTTTTGCACAACAGTACAGATATGCACACAACAGATACTGCTGAATTCAATCCTAAAAATCACAAATGCATCATTGCTCTGCCGAAACCAACAAAAATACCTTCACTTCAGTGAAGCAGTTGCACCTGTGCCCCACTTAAAATATCATGAGTGACGCATCTGAAGTAAACAGGACTTGAGTGTTTTGTTGGTGAAGGCACAGACTTGCTCTTTATAGTCCTAAACTTGAAAAAAATGCTGATAAATGGAAATAATGAAAGAAGTTAAAAAGTCATTGTTTCAAATTACTTGAAATTGCTATTAGAACAATAACACATCAATTATTAATTGGCTTATAATCAAAATATAAACCAACTGTGTTTTGCTCAAGTCTGGATACATATCATTAGTCTCTAACAATGAGGACTGTGTTACAATTTGCCAGGAAAGCTTTAAAAATCATGAACAGTCCAAACAAAAGGAAAAAGTTCTGAACCATCCAGTATAAACTAGGAGATTTGCAATTATGATGACATCTGAAGTGAAATGTATATTTAAAGACTGCATGGGGAACAGTGCCTGTATTTACTGCTGTCCAACACTTGCTGATGTAGACATAGTTTTGAACTCGTTTTAAACACATATATTTAATTATCTGAATGAAGGTTTTTTCAGTTAAGCATCTGATCAGATAATTTAAAAAAAAAACTAAAGGAAAACCTTTCTAAAAGAGAAAAACCATATAGGCCTCTCAGCAGAACTAGGTTAAGCATCTGATCAGATAATTTAAAAAAAATTGAAGAAAAACCTTTCTAAAAGAGAAAAACCATGTAGGCCTCTCAACAGAACTATGGGAAATGCATTGCTTTGCTCTCCTTTTACTTCGTTTAAAATAAAAGCAATAGCAAGATAATAGCAAGGTGGGTTTCATTGAAAAGCTCCACTACCTCAACATTTTGAAACACTGACTTCCCACCTTGAAGGGAAATCAGGGATGTGCATTTTCTAGAGAAACCCATAGAAAACCGACACCGAGACGTCTCTGTGCAGACACACACTACTCAGGGACTCGAGTTCGCGGGCACCGACGTGCCCTGAAACCGGGGCTCGGCCGCCCTGGGGCTGCCCCTTCCCGGCCCGGCCCTGCCGCGGAGCCGCCGGGGCCGGGAACGCGCCGAGCCTGGGACTGGATCGCGCCGAGCCCCGGGCCGGGAACGCGCCGAGCTCGGGCCGGGAACGCGCCGAGCCCCGGGACAGGCAGCGCGCGGGTGCGGCGCCCCCTGGCGGCCATGGGCAGCGCCGCCGCCGCGCCCGGAGTTTGTCCGTCCTTTGTCCGTCCTGTGTCCGTCCTTTGTCCGTCCTGTGTCCGTCCTGTGTCCGTCCTGTGTCCAGGGGCAGAGCCAGGCCCTGGTTCATAGAGTGAGCAATCCGCCAGCTCACCCTTTACACGCAGCAGCCAAGTCAGGTGGCAGGAAAGCAGCGGGAAGCAGGCTTTAAAGCCTCGGTTCTCTGCAGCCACAGCCATCAGTTTGTTCCTCAAATTCCACTGCCGCGCTTCCATCTCACACAATACAAAGGTGGTATCACCTGAGAGTAGGGTGTCTTAACCACAGTGTCCTCAATCCTTACGGAAGCACTACCCATATTCCTAACGCTGCGGGTTTGGTGGGGAGAAGTTAAAATCTCTGCCACCCTGTTGGAAGCTGGGTAAAAAAGTTAAGAGTTGTACTGGCAACTTCAGTATTTTATATCTGCCACAGAGCTATCTTTCCAATTGAGTATTGTTTAAATGTAACATTTGTTTCTTTTAAAAGATAGTATTTAAATAAGGGCATGTTTTTATAACTTAATGAAAATAGATAACTTACCTGATTTATGGTTTCTTCAAATGCTTTTATATAATGATTAAGTTCTCTGTCCATTCTAGCAAAGTCTAACATGACTTCTTCCATATTGTTAATATCTTCTTCATCATCTGTAAAATAAAATACGTGGAACATTGGTGACCAATTGTATTATTTTTAGGCAGCATTTTTCTTCACAAATGTTTTATTTACAAGAATTCATGCCGTGAATAACTAATGCATTTGTAAGTTTCAGCAGGTGTTTTCAAGCTACTCAAACATATACTTTTTTCTCATTTTGCAACCGTAATCTTTGACATTTCTTGGGTAACTTGAACAAACAGCTTACTCAGAAAGACACTTCCCTGGTTTCATGTGAACAAGAGAGAGTATGTGTAATTTCATCTACCAACACCTAGTCATTAGGCAATCAGGATATTTTCTGCAAAAGTTGTGTTTCATGACTCATCACATTGCCTCAGAAATAGTCAGAAGAAACTTAAATGCCCTCTCAGTACAGTATAGTTCACAGCTGTAATTAGAACTCTTATCCCCAATAAACACAGCTACAGGAAAATCAAAACAAAGCTAGCATTTTATAACACAGGAAATAATGGAAGAATGGATAGCATTTGTGATTCAAGCAGTAAAATTCTAATTGCTAGGGAAAATCAATTAACACAGGTCATGTGATTAGTAATTCATATCTACTTTTATTCTCTTCTACACTCCTCCTAATTCCACTCCTTTCATCTCTACAACTCTGCTTTCCCATTCTAACCTTGTTGTGCATCTGCTTAGATAAGGACCCTGTGCAGATGCTTCAATGCTGAACAGCCACAGCTGTATATTCCTGATACAGCTGCATGTACCTCACCAAATGCTGCCAACTGCAGGAGGACAGCCAGCCACAAGCCCTGAATCCATGCAGGAAACCAGTAAATTAGAAAACCTGTTTCCACTTCTGCTACTCCCATTTATTCCTATTCTGCAGTTTCCAGGTATAGAGAAAGCAGCTGGAAGCAGCTAGACTCTGTGAAAGAGACCCAAAGTCTGCCACGCAGCATTAGGGGTTGTCATTTGATGGAGCATTCTTTAAAAGCACTTAAGTAGCCAATCTGTGCTGCTACTTTTAGGAAGAAAATTGTAGTACCACTTTTTAAATTATTAGGAAGGAAAGACAAGGAAAATGTCTTCTGATCTGGCAAGCTGGTACATTGCTTAAGTTGCTAACTATATTATTATGTTAGAACATAAAAACCTATCTCTAGAGAAAACTGACACAATTGTATATGGCCATCAGGTTGGGAGCAAAATCTGAAACACATCACTCAGAGACAGAAACATCACACCATATTGGAACAGTGATGGATCAAGGAGACAAAGGAAAAGTGCTAAGATACACAAAAGAAGTTACATAATAAGCTATGCTATTTTGTGAACGTGACAATTGCAGACGTGACATTTCCTTTAATTGCATATAGGCTTGGTATGTATCCATTTTTCATTAGGCAGATGAATGGATACTGCAGACAGAATCTCGGCAATCCTGCAACTGTCTTCTGAATAATCAGCATTTCCCTCTCCCCTTTCCCTTCCCTCCCACCCAGTTTCCATGTTCTATCTGGTAACTACGATCACACTACTTTTCCTTCCTGCTAGGAAGCATATGAAATGCCTCCTTCAAGGCTGACACAAAGGACACTCCATGAATCACAGGAAAGGTTTGTGTAGCAAATAACTGTCATTCTCCTCCCATGGCCAAAATGAATCATATTCAAAGAAACTACAATGGCCTAAATATTTTAAATTTCTTTTTAGGGGAAAAGAAGTGTATTGTTAAATGCCAAAAGAGCTGTCGAAATGCTGGTTTTGCTAATACTATAAAAATAACTTTAGGTGAAGAGTAATTATGTTGCATGCAACTTGAGAGATGTATTAAAACAAAGCTCAAAGATGTGGAACACATCTCGGCAAGAGGGACATTATCTCCAAATACATCTTGCTCTATATTCTTTCTGTACTGACCATTCCACCCATCCACCAGCCTGCTTTAAGTCTCCATGCTGTTCCTTGCTGCTTCCCTGATGCTGTTCCTTCACACATTACACACATCCTGGGAAATTGCTGAACATGTCACTAACACACAATCATATCCTGCCCTTGGAAGCACTACGGACATACAGATAGATCTGATTGACTGTGTACGTGTCAGTTGTTGTCCATACCCTATTTCTGCTCATTGACAGATACTACAGTCCATTTTCTGTCTGAAGTTCAATCCATAGGGTGCTGAGAGGTAACAGTAAATCAACTGTGCTGTACTCAGCCACCTACCTCCCCATCTCTTAAACAAGATTTTTAAAAAAACTACATTACAAGCTATTCTATTTGCCTATTAAAAACTCTCATTGTTCTACATTACACACAGAATAACCTGCTGTGCAAGGCTCCTCTGCTTCCCCTTCCCCTGAAGGGCCAAGAGCATTTCTGCCCCACCCTAGTAGGGAGCAGATGAAGGGCAGAGCTTGGGTGCACATGGTAAGAAACTGTGGGTGACTGTATGGGGGTGTAAAGTTTTACAGCTCACCAAGGCAGAGATCCCACTTTTAAGGTTTCTTTACAACAGAGTCCACCATAGGCTCATCAGAACACACCAGTTCACCTGATCTTACTGAGGAACCAGAAATTAGGAAAGAATTTTCACTCCTCAACACCATCCCACAACTCATTCTCACAAATCCCACCAACCACTGGTTTAGCAGCACTACAGTATCAAAAATAATTAAAATATAATAATTACACAAAGCTTTTGAAATATTCAAAAGGCATTGTCTGTTATTCGCTCTGCAAGCCCTGCTGCTGCTTTTGTTTCAGATGTGAGGGTGACAGTGGAGATCCATGGTAAAGAGATTCAAGGCACTGACTCTCTTCCAGCAGACCATGAGCACACTGACTGCTGAATACCCTCCAGCCAGACTCCAGCTACAAAGCCAGACAGCTCTCCAAAGTACTCAAATGTTGCACTCTGCAGACCAACAACCTAGCTTAACACAAAAATCAAACACTTTGCAAGTGCTGGATGAGTGCCTTTCTATTATCTAATCAAAACTTATCCTAATCTTATTTCTGATTCATATCTAAGGAATGCATTCCAAACTGTCTGCATATGCTTTCAGCTACTGCCACAAAATACCATTGAAGTGCATATTGTAGTCTCCTTGTTATCTAGGCTAAATATGTTGAGTTTAGTAAGCATTTCTTCACAAGTCATTTCCCTCACCACTCAGAGATTATACATTTTGCAATATTACATTTTTTACTCACAGAAAGCCCAGTTCAAGGCCATAATTTCATTTTCAAAGGCCCATGTGCATCATGTTAAAATTAGCTGGCTGAATATGCAGTTTTCAGTTATGAATTCCAGTTTATACTACTTTATGATCTCTTATTGTAATTGAAACAGGGATATTATCTGAAAAGTCTCCCTAAATATTAAAGAACAAAATTGCATAAAGTGACTAGCAAGTGTTCAATTTCTCACTTCTGAAGAGCCCAATCACACTTAGGTGCCTTTATGCTGATTTAAACCATAATCAGTCAGGTCTAAGTTATGTATCATGAACTCACAGTGTTAAAATAGAAGTTGCAACAACAGAGTCCAGTCAGCACTGATTTAATACATCCTTTAGTAACACTCATCTAAAATTTATTCAAAACTTGCATTTCCTAACATCTGAGTTCATATTTACTTTAGTTTCCTGTATACATCCACAAGTTAGCAGAATTTCTGAAGATTTTTCACAACTACCTCTTTCTGTGCAGAAGTTACCACATCAGTATTTGTTATTTAGGGTATTACAGCTGTGCTGCAGCCAGTACACACCAATCTAAATAAGCATTTGCTTCCACTGCAGACTATCTTAAACACAAAATAGCCTGGAATACCATGAAAATGCAGGAAGGCTCCCAACTTACAAATACAAATGTATTTAAAATGAATGCTTAAGCACAGACCATGTAGATTAAGATTAATACATACCTACTTTCATATCTTTATATTAGTTGCTAACAAAATTCAAAATTTCAATTTAAAGAAAGCAGGATATGTCAGTTCTACCTCTGGCACAATGTATTAGTCTGTTTTGAAATTCAAGGCTACACGCTGCTTTTCCCATGATTCAAGGCTGAAGAGTAATGGTATACCATTGACTGGAAATGTTGACAGTAGATTTCAGACTTTTAAAGCACTTGTAACACAAACACCCATCACTTGAGCCATTAGCAACAGTGGTAGTAGGCAGTTGTTTTCATATGCACCAGCAGCAGATAAAATACACATTTTGCCAGCAGAGTTCAAGTTACTGCTGACAGCAGAGCACAAGCTCTCTGACTCCCTGATTTAGTTCCATCTTTTGGAGGAAAAAATACAAGATAAAACAAGATAAAACTAAGTATTTTTGCTGTCATTTTTAGTAAGCCCATCATTTACAGATCCAAAAGTGCTAAGACTACCCTCCGTGCCCTAGTTCTGCTGGGTCTACTCAAAACTGTTGATAATTCAAGTTGGACAGTAGATCTTGAAAAAACTCTTAACCAACCCACGCTCTTTAAGAACAGATTAACAACACATTTGGAGAAGACACCAGTAATGCTCAGCAGTGAGAGGACACAAATATATGTAGGAGAGCACTGTCTCATCTCCCCCTCTGTTTACACAGGAGTGAAGCTTGCCACAGCACTCCAGACTATATAGACCAAGAGGAACTTAAGCAGGAGACTGATTGCTTCTGCAGCACTGAGGGTACATGGTCACTTTTTCTCCTGCAGATACACGGACAGCTCCTCAGAAAGCTTTCATCAAAGATTTATTTCAAAATCTCATTTCCCTGACCTGCAACATACTTTACTTATTAGGCTGCAGAAAGAGCAGCCTACAGAAAATTCTAAACAGAAATGAGAAGTCATACAAAGGAACAGCAAAAAACTGGAGAAAATCAAATTCATCTCCTAAATGCATGTTTCTTCACAGAGAGAAATGGTTGAAAGTACAATGCCCAAAAAATCTCCATGGAGCTGGATAAGGCATTAACCACTGCAATTCATAAGAGAAGAAAAATTACTGCTGATA